GGGCCTGGGTCGCCGGCCCTGTGTGGCCTCCCTCCACCTCCCCGGCGGCCAGAGGACAGACCTCTCCGGCGGGAGGAGCCGTGGGCACGGCCGAGGCGAGCCTCGGGGCAGGGACCTACCTACCATCTGTGGGGACTTGCCCGGTGGGCCCTGCGTAGGGGAAAACTCGAGGTGGAGGGAGCACCTCGGGAGTCGGGGACCCGAGCCTGGGAGTCCCGGGTGTGTGCGTGCTGGCGGCAGGGCGCTCACCACCGACCCCGCGGCGGTGTGGGTGTGGTGGTTGGGTGCCTCTCGGAGTGGGTGCCTCACGTCTGCCGGGGGAAGGCTCCCCGTACCGCCCGTGCGGTGAGCCCGTGCTCACCCGGGGTGTGTGCCTGCGAGGTAGCGGGGCGGGCGCATCCCCTGAACCCACTCCCGCCCTGGCTCTTCGTCTGTCTTCACCTTATGTGGTCGACCAGCTGTCCCTGAGAGTTCCGTGTCTGGCTCTGTTGGGGACGTGTTGGGGACAGGTGTCCCTGATGTGGTTTCCGAGAGGTCCCTGTCGCCAGCGAGTTGTCGCCCCTGCCTGACGACCTGGTTTTGGCATGGTGACGTGAGGATTTTGTACCTGCAGGAGGGTGCTGGCATGCTGTGTCCCGGTGGCTGTCAGCAGGTCTTTGGGGGCTCTTTCGGATGCTGTGTGCCGGGCCTTTCCCATCTCTTCCCGGTCCGGGTCCCCGTGTCCTCCCCCCCACACCCTGGGCTCCCGCTGCCCTGAGCAGGCCCTGTGCCCCTGTGGTGGCTCGTGGGTGTGGTGGTGGTTGGTTGGTGGTTGGCGGCTGAGTGAGTCCCGTCGTCCTTGATCTCTTCCCCGCTCCCGGTGCCGGATTCTGGCCCTTGCCTCGGCACGCCGAGGAGGAGAGTGGTTGGTTGCCTGGGGTGCGTAGGTAGGCCCGCGCGGTGTGCTTCCCTCGCCGTGGCTGGCTTGAGGAGGAAAAGGGGGAGGGCGAGTCCTGCCTTGCCTGTGCGTGTCCGGCATCCCCGTTCTGCTGTTGGGCATGCCCGACCTCCGTGGCTCCTTTTCTTTTTTCTTTCTCCTATTGCCCCTAGCTCTCCACCTCCCCCGATCTGCCGCTTCCCGATGGCAGGCCTGGTCGGCCACTGAGCTGCGCTATTCCCAAGCGCTGTCCGTGGCTTTTTTTTTTCTTTTTTTTCTTTTCTCCCTTTCTAGCTTCTTCGGTCCTGTGCCCGGCAGAGGTGTCCTGGTTATCCCGAGTGCCAGGGACGTTTAAGCCCGTGGTATTTTTTCATTTCATTTTTTCGTTTTTTTTTTCTTTTTTCTTTTTACCTCGCTCGTTACTCACGAAAGGGTGTCTGCCCTGCTTCGCTTTTATCCCAGGCAGTTGGCCCCTCTCAGGAGCCGAGCTTCCTGGGCCACCGCCTCCCGAGTGCCGTGTGGCTATCTTCTCCACCCCCTCGGTGTGATTGATGTGGTGATGTTGCGATCTCCTTCGGGCCCGGGCCTAAGCTGCGCCAGGCGAGGGCCGGACATTCATGGTGAATGGGAACGCTCTTCTCGTTCTGCCCGTGGTCCCCTGCCCTCACCGTCCCACCGTGCCGGCGCCGGTGGTGTGCGGGGAGGCAGGGGTGCGGCAACCGGGTCCGGCTGCGCTCTCCCTGCCCTCGCCGTGAGGTCGGGGACTTGTACACGCTGGAGGAGGGGGGCGCCCTGATCTTGCTCCTCTCTTCCCGTGACTCGTTATCTGCATGGGGGTTGGCTCTCTCCGCAGAGAGGGAGGGTCGGTGCTCCGTGCTTGCCCGTGCTGTGTGGTGTGAAAAGCCGTGCCTCGCGCTCTGCCCTCTTGCGGTGCTCCTGGAACGCTCCCGGTCGGTTCTCTCAGGTGCCTGAGGCTGAGTGGTTGTGTCGTTCCCGATCCTGGCATTGTCAGCTGCCTTGTGCCAGCCTGCTGCCCGTGGTGTGTCCTGGCCGTCCTTGGGTTCGTGGGGCTTGTGTGAGTGAGAAGTTACCGTTGAGGTTGACATCTCTGCTGGGGGGGTCGAGGCGGTTCCCCAGAGGAGCGCTCTTCCCTTGTTGCGCTGGGTGGTGGCTTCCCCGCATGAGCTGCTGCCCTGGTCCTGGCTTGTCTTCCCTGCCCTGTCACCTGGCTTTTATTGCACCGGGGACCTTAGATGTTGCAGTGGGAGGCGAGCCGGGCCTGTGCGGGCTTTCCGCCCGTGTGCGCGACTTTGCTCTGGCCCCGCACAGCAAGGCCGACTGACCAGGGTTGGTGTTGCTGCTGCCGCAGAACCCCCCTGCCCCACCCCTCCCTGCCCCCGTGGTGGGAAGGATGGACGCCTCTGATGTGTGCTGGTCCCGGCGTGGTTCCCGTCGGGGTTGGGTGCGGGCCACTCTCAGAGTGAGGAGAGGTTCTCTAGCGATCCTCGTTCGGGAAGCGGCGTGCGTTGCTGGGTTGGTGGGGGCCCGCCCCCGATGGGCTCCCGCGGCCCTGCCGCTCCCTGTCCCGCTTTTGAGCGCTAGTGGCTGCCCACGTCAGTAACTGCGTGCCTGCGCCTCCCTCTTCCGAGCTGGGGGAGGGTCCCGCTGGGCCTCTCCCTGGCCATCGTCTGGTGTGGTGAGTGGAGGACGTTCCCGATCGGTCCCCGCCCCTGCCTCGCGTGCGGTGTGTCGAGTGGCGGAGCCTGGAGCCCATGCCGGGTCACGATGCGAGGGCGTGTGGTGTGTGGCTTCCCGGCCTCGTGCTTGAGGTGCCGTGGGGTTTTTGGGGGTCTCGTCCCCCTCCCCGTCCGGCCCCTGGCAACGCTGTTCCCGAGCGTCTGTGTGGGCCGCCGCCCATTGGTGATGATGGCGCTCTGCGGGAGCTGGGCCCCGCAGTGTTCCAGGGCCGCTGTGCCCGTGGTGGTGTGCCGCTCAGGGGGGTTCTGGCCCTCCGGAGCCGAGAATCCCGGTGTGTGTGGGCCCTTGCTCACGCGGCCGAAAAAGAGGCGGTCGATGATGGGTGCTGTGCCCGGCAGTGTGGATGGATGAGGTGGGGCCCTGCTAGCGCAGGCGGCTCAGCGGGCATTCACGGGGACTTTGAGGTGTGTGCGAGCTGCCTGTTCCCTCTCAGGCCTCTTTTGGGGGGGCCCGCCGCTGCCATGGTGGGGGTTTCCGGTCCACTGGTAGGCCGGCTCGGTGTCCCCGGCATTGCGCGCGGGACCGCCCCGGAGTTGGGGGTGGTGAGATCCCGCGTTCGTTTACCTGGCGTGCTGGCTGTGCCCGGAAAGGTCTCACCTCCCCGTTGGTCTGCGGCTGCACCACTCGCCCGTGTGAGGGGGTGGCCACTTGCTCACTCACCTCTCACCCCGGTGACCCGACCCGGTGACCCTCCCACTGCTCTTCTTGTTGTGCTTCCGGCATGCCCTCCTCACCCGCATCAGCCTTCCGCTATCCTCACAGGTTTGGCCTGGTGGCCGGCCACCGGCAGACGGTCGAGTTGGGCGTTGTGTGGTGTTCTCTTGGGGGGGGAGACGGCGCTCAGCTCGTGAGGCTGCTCTCCCGGTGTGGGGGAGGCATGTCGTCGCGGCGGCGGTGGCTTTTGAAGGGTCTTCCCGGATAGGTTTTGCTCATGACGTGAGGACTCCTGCCAGCGGGACTACCGGTATGCCACGGGGGCGATGGTGGTGAGATTCCCGCGTGCGTCCCTCGCTCGGGAGTTGGCCGTCCGAGGGCCCGAAGCCGGCGTCACGTGCCTCCTCCCGCTGGGCGCCGCCTCGCGTGCCTGCGTGTTTGTCTCGGGTTCCAGCGCCTCCCTCCTGCTTCGCCCTGCGTAGGCTTGCCCTCATCGTCTCTTCCGTCTTGAGCCATGTGGCTTCGTCCCCGCCCCTGTCCTGGATCCGGGGTGTTGTGCTCTCTCTTGGCGTGTCTCCGCCGCGTGCCCGGCGCAACCCTGGTTCCCGTGCCTGGCCCTGTCTGCTCTGTGCCGGCGGTGTCTGCGTGTGAGTGTGCTCGCGTGCGTTGGGTTTGGTGTCGCCCACCTCCCGGGGTCCCTGCCGCCGCCTCCGGCTGCCGTCGTTGGCCGGTGACCTGTCGCCGATGGGTCGTCGCCGCAGACCCCCGACCCCCTGCCGGCACGGCCAGTCCGCGGTGGCGAGGGTCATTGTGTGCTCGTCCCCCGCATCCGTGCGAGCGAGTGAATTCGGGCCGGCTTCTGAGGGAGGTGGAGAAAAACCCCGTGGCCATGTGGTGTGCGTTGCGTTGTGTGTGTCGCCCCTGTCTTTATGGCCTCTCGGGTGTGCGCCACACGCGACCCGGCCGGCTGGCCGGCTGGACCGTGGACTTCGGTGCGCCGCCTCCGGGCGGAGAAGGGGCCTGGCACTCCTCCCCGTCCGTGTGTGCACGCCGCCGCTCCTGTGCCCACCAGGCCAGCAGGCGGGGGGTCGGTGATGCGGTGCCCTCGAGCTTGGGTGCGGTGCGGTGCCCTTCCCCCCCCCGGCCAGGGGTTCCTCTGCCCTCTCCGTGCTCTTCCTCTCTCTGCTCGTCACTGCGCGGTGGCCTGCTTGCGCCCATGTGCCCGCGCCGCCGTCCTGGATGGTGGGAGTTGGGTCTAGTTGGTGGCCTGCTTGCACCCAAGTGCCCGCGCCGCCGTCCTGGATGGTGGCAGTTGGGTCTAGTTGGTGGCTGTCTTGGCCCACCCGTGTCGGTCTTCCCGGTCGCTGCCGGCATTCGCTGGTCGGTGGCATCGGTCTCCCGGATCAAGGTCCGCGCCTCCCTCCCTTCCCGCGCCCGCTCCGCGCCCACCCTCATGTGTGCCCTCGGGCCGGTCGGGCCTGCCTGGTCGTTCTGGTGTGCGGCGACCCGGGATCCGCCTCGCCGCCCTCGCTCCCCCTCGTTGGCTCCCCGTCTTCTCCTTGCCATCGCCCG